AGGTATTCCAAAAAAACAGTGGTAAAATATCTAAATAAAATGCTAGAGTAACAATCCCTGTGCTATGCAACTGATTTCACAAAGTCTGAGATACACTTTTCATGAAAAATGTGTTCCTATGTAGACTGTGGCTTCTCTACTTGGTTAAATTTTATTAGATATTGTACATAAGCAAGTAAATCAGGAATTATTTCTGCTGAACAATTTTCCTATCATTTTACTTCCTGAGCTGTCAAAAAATTAGTCAGAGCCCATCTTAAACAGCTATCAGGGAATAAAGTTTTCTTGAGTAAAACACACAAACAGCTTAGATCCACCTCCACGCTGGGAGACCTTCAAAAATTATACCTAAGTTGGAAAGCAAGACCAAGACTGATGTATTTTAGAGTGCTGCATTCTGAAAAACCATTGAAGCAACAGCTTCCTAGTTCTGGTTAGTGTGCTGAGCACATTTATGACTACTATGAAAAAAAACAGTAACATTTAAATCCTCCTCACACTGCCAATATATCCTCAGAATTAATTGCTTGTTCATATTAATTCACTGAAATTAATGACTCACTTCTTATTGTTGTTTCAACCATTCAAGTAATTTTCAAGCCTGAGATCCTGAAATCATATTCCAAGTGAACCAAAGTTGCTCTGCAACTTTTAACAGACAACCTGTTCATCCCTCCACTGAACTAAGCGTGAATAAGAAAGATTCAACTGTCACGGATTTCCTTTTCCATAGTAATTTCTCAGAACACAGACTTTCCATGCAAGCCCATGGTGTACCGTAAACAGTGTTTAGACATTTGCTATTTTTGATATGGGTTTATTTTTTTATACATACTTTCCTTCCAGGATGATGCAAATTATCTCACTAACATCCATCAACCTCAGCACAGTGAATTACTAGATCATCTACTATACACCTATCTTTCAAGAAAACACAGGACAGAACATACAATTCTGAAACCACTTATTTTATTATATTTTCTTTATATTACATTGATGAGGATTTATGAACATATTTGCAAAGAAAGTGCTACAGAGTGGATCCCGCAGTATTTATTTAGAAAAAATATAGTGGATACAAATGACTAATCCATATTTCAGGCATGCCAAACATGATATACTTAATAACAACGTGTTCTTGATGTTCTTGAAGAGCAAAGTTGACCTTTTGAAAAACAAGAATCTTCCCTTTAGAGTTACATCTGCTAAAATATTCCATCATCTCAAAAACATAAACAGCAATTCTTTCTACATCGTAAGAAAACAGAATTCTCTTCTGAAGTCATCCCTATCTGCTCTGTTCACCCTTTACCTCAGATCACTTTCTGTCACCTTGAGAAGCAGGACTGTGACTAACGGCAAGTAATCAGCAGCTGGTAAGTCTGTAAGCAAAACAAGGTATTTTCCATATAAATACTCTTATAATAAAAAGGGTAAGTATAGACACTACGTTTGTCCTTATATTTGTTACATTTGTCCTTAAGATTCTTCGTGTAGTATCAGTGTTCAGCAAAGATTTATCTATACAAAAGAATAATAGCTATTAATACGCTCTTACTCCAGGTCAAGAAAGCTAGTGGAAATGTGTATATCTGCATGCTCACACTCTCTGTAAATCTGGCTTATATTGATTTAGAGTGCAACTTCCTATTTTTACACAAATAGAAACAAACTGTGTATTTACCAAGCCTATACGGTTTAAAGAATCCTGCTAACCATCACAATGTAGATTTGCTTTTGTACGTCATTTGCACACCATTTTTGCCTTATGAAGTCAATAGAAAATATTGCATGACAACATTCAGTGTCCACGATGTCTGCAAAAGATAAAAAACCAGCACTTGTATCCACTCTTAATCATTAATGCCCTTTGAATCTTTCATAATACTGACAGTGGAAAAAAAAAAGTGCAGTAACAGTAGTACAATGTTTGTTGAACCACAGTATTCTGCTGCCTGACAAAAAGAATTGCTTCCCTCACTACACAATCCCCCCACAGCCAGCTATACCGATTTTGCTGGAAATTTTTTCTCTTCCATCCCTCCAGTCCCAACACAACAAGGCAAGCCAGAAGATTGTGCATTACAGGTACCACAACACAGCAACAGCACCTGGTCACAAACACTGTGTACGTCCAGGATCATAACGCAACTGCAGCATTTTATAGTGCCCTTTACTAGAATCCACAAGCAGATGTGGTGCACAAAAATAGTTCACTGAAGTTGTAAGAAAGTAAAAAAATTCATTCATTATTTTAAACTGTATTGTAAAAGTCTTTACACATTCTGAGAAATGTACTAACACCACACATGCTCTGTAATTGCTGCCTTTATACACCCCAAGTTCACACTGAAAGACCATAACTAAGCACAACTGCTTTTTTACTTATTCATAAAACCATTTCAACTGTTACAATGGCTCATGTGATATGAAAATAGCAACTAGAAATTTTACTTTCTCCTTCAAACCAAGCTTGAATTACTGCCATGAACATTGAAACATTGATTGTTCAAGTCATGCCAAAATAAATCCTCTGTTACTTCAGTTCTGCCTATTTTATCTAACAATCAGCTAACTCAAGGTACAATATTGTCTTCTAGACTGATCTTGTTCAGAAATTCAGCTTTTATCTTTTAGCTACTTTCTATGAAAACACACTCTTCTTTGTAGACATTTCTATAAAATATTGTAACAGTGTGTGATAAATTGCCCTGTGATGTCAAATGACATTAAGCCCAATGGAACTTGGTACTTCAGTATTTCCCCAGAGTCCTTACGCTGAAACCAATTCCTGTTCCAGTAATTCAGCACAGGCAGTTGGGTTTGTTTGGGATTTTTTTGGGTTTTGCTGGGGTTTTTTTGTTTGGGTTTTTTGTTTTGGTTTGGTTTTTTAAGATTTAGAACTTTGATTTTATATTGAGCACATTCAGTAAAATCATTACATTTTTTTTCCACTTGGAACTACTGGGAGAATCAGACTGAAACATACAGAAATACAAGGTGGATGTGCACCTACCACCTACACAAGCAATGTTTCTTTTTTGGCAATATGATTATGCAACTTTTTCTTACAGAACTTGGATTTTTTTTTAATTACATATTTATGGTCTTTTTCATGTGGTGTCTGGAAAATGATGAAAGTTCCTCTGCTCTGAGGAGAGACTGAATGAGTTAGACCTTTTCACCGTGGAAAAGAGCAGGCTCAGAGGCCACCTCAGAGTTTTCCACTACTTAAATGGCAGCTACAAAGAGGACGGAGGCTCTCTCTTCACATGGAGATGACAAGGGCAAATGGGTACAAGTTGCACCAGCAGAAGTTTCATCTTGATATAAGAAATAAATTTTTCACAGTGAGAACAACCACTGGAACTACTGCCCCAGGGACATGGTAGAGTCCCTGTCACTGGAAGTTTTTAAGACATGACTGGGCAGGGTGCTAGAAAATCTCATCTAGGCTCCCTTTCCCACAAAAGGTTGGACCAGATGATGTTTTGAGGTCCCTTCTAGCCTCAGCTGTTCTATGATTCTGTGAAAATAAGAATAAAAAATTGTTTTCCAAAGTTACTGCAGAAATAGTGAACAAGGACTGAGCAGAGAAAAGAACTAGAAGGGTTCTGAAAAGGCATCCAAGAATGGCAAAATCTAGAAGGCTATTGTGTCACACCTTTGTTATCAGCTATATTTGATTTTACTGTATAATGTATTTGCTGTAGCAAATGCACATCATGCTGGGGTCTTTTACTTTACACTGGAAGAAACGTAATTTTTTTAAAACAGTTTGCTAGATGGTGTCTTCTTCACTTCTAATCCGGCAAAACGTACAAGCAGACACCCAGAGGTGGCTGGGGGATACAGCAACAGTTTGAGGACCCAAATGAGCCCTGAGGTCTAGGAGATGTTGCCTCTTAAAGTGGCAAAAAGCGTTATCAATTAGCACCTCTTTTTGCCAATACTTTCCCTGTTTGAATCTTGGTGGGAACCAAAACCTGCCATAGACAAACATCCTCACATTTGATGACTCTTACCTAGAGTGATCTAAGAACTATAGATCTATTTTAGGTTACACTGATTATTTTAGGTTACTCTGATGCTATCACACTTTCCAGACACTGGAATTCATCCTTCACTTTCCTTGATGAGATGCCAAACACTTTGGGAAGCTTCTTTCTTACACTAATTCATGCGAAGTATGAATAGAATAGAATGGCAAGGAAATTAATTGAAGAAAGAAATGGTGAAGTATGGTTGTTATTTAAGGAGACTGCTGCTACTACTAGCAAATTCTTCTACAGCATTAAAAAAGTATTCTAAATTTGAAAGTTCAAATAGAAAAGATCCAGGAAAGAGACTACAACACATTGGAAGAAGAGTCACATCTCAGAAATGATTAAAAATACCGAATTAAGGATTCTATTTTACAGAAGAAAATATCTGGGAGGAAAAGACTGGCTGAAAAACAAAATAACCAGATTTTTTTACATAAATGGTAGCCTCACAATACATAAAAACATTATACAAGATAACACACCATGAAATTGAATGGTTCAAGGGTTAACAATACAAATATACTTGAATCTTTGTAGTGAAAACAACCCTCATTAGTAACATACGAACATTATTACAATATCTTATGCTTCATTGCCCTAAGTGAAGTGAGTTAAAGTTTAACTAATCACCTACTGACCAAATGATCACATCATTCTTGCAACAAAACAAGATCTAACAGTTGCAGAAGGGTCAGACTTCATTATCTGCCTCCTTCCATGAAGAGCGCTTCAGGCTTGTGAAGGAGCCAGCACTGCCAGGGAAAAGCTGGCGCCACTGCTGTCTGTACTAGGTATGACCTGCAAAAAAAGTATTTCAGTCTTCTATACTGTCAATTCACAACCTTTCACCACTATTAGAAACCTCACACACATTATTTCCAAATACTGTTGAAAAATTGAGAATTGAGCATAAAACAGCAGACGTTATACTGTGGACTGGACACAGGCCAGATGAATCATGATCTCACTAAAACATGCAGCTTGCTAAGAAGGTATCACAATTGACACAGTTGACATCTGATCAGTTGCTCAGAAAACTTTCATAAAATGATTTTGAATTAAGGTTTCTATACGGGACATCAGCATACTCATATCAGCAGCACAGACCTGGTGATCCTCACTACCCTTCTTTCTCAGAGTCTCTAATAAGCCCCAGTGGACTGGAGGCAGAGGGCTATAAGAACTCAGCAAGTGAAGCTGACTTAAGGGATTCTGTTTTATTTCTGTAATCCTCAAGGCCCTCAAGATAGCAGGTGCAAACTTAGAATAATGAGCTGTAGATGAAATAATAATTGGGCAAGTTCTATCTTGTAATCGGTCTGCAACTACTTTAGCAACAGCTGTGTGTGTATCCAAAATATATCCTGTGGTACTGTATACAGAGTGAATGGCTGCTAGACAGTCTTCCTCAGAGCACCATCCAGCCACCAAGTCTTGCTGAAGCTTTTCAAGTAGATCCTTCCGTAGCTGGAAGTGGCCCTGATTTTCCAGCTGGTTATACAATTGTGTCACCAGTTGTCCATCCTCATTAGCAATCAGGTGCAAGTATCGCTCCAGATTGGAGGACTTCAAAATATCTACTGCTGGTGAAAAAGTGGGAATTAATTTTCTTTCTCTCAAATCATAAACACCTGTTCTTATGAAATCAGTCAAAACATTGTTTTCATTGGAAGCACAGATACATTTTCTAATAGGAATTCCCATCATTTTAGCATACAAAGCAGCTAATATGTTGCCAAAGTTTCCTGTAGGAACGCAAACGTCTACAGCGCTTCCAAAGGGAATAATATCTTGATGAACAAGATCAAGGTATGCAGAGGCATGATAAACTATCTGAGGAAGCAGCCGTGCCCAGTTTATGGAGTTCGCTGCAGCTAAAGCTGTTCCATATTCTACTGTAAGAAACCCAGTATAATCAGAATTAGTAAAGATTTGTTTTATAGCTGTCTGGCAAAAATCAAAATCAGATTTGACACCGACTGACCAGGCATTTTCTGTCTGACAGCCAATCATCTGTGATTTCTGAATTGGGCTTACTCCATCCTCAGGAAAAAAATTCATTACAGCAATTCTCTGCTTGTCAGTGTCATGGAGACGACTAAAACCATCTAGGACAGCACTCCCCGTGTCACCAGAAGTAGCTACCAGAACCAAGTAATTGCAGCTTCTGGGAATGCAGTATGCAAATATATGTGGCACCATCTGTAATGCAAAATCTTTAAATGATGCTGTTGGTCCATGAAACAACTCAAGAAGAAACTGATTGCCTGACAGATGCCTAACTGGGGCAATTTTAGAACAAGTAAAGTTTTCTCCATAAGCAGTTCCAATAATTTCTGCCAGCTTAGAAGCAGGAACATCATCAGGATGTATGCATCTTTCTAGTATCACCTGGGCTCTTTCAATGTAAGTTGCTTCTATTAGGCCTTGCCATTCTTCAGCAGTGAATTTTGGAAGGCCTCTCTCAGGAACAAAGAGTCCTCCATCAGGAGCTAAGCCCTCAGTAACAACGTCACCGAAATATTTACGAGAGTTTTTTTCTGTAGTCCTTCCAGACCTGCTAGACCTCGTTGAAATAAAAGTTTCCAGTTCTGAGTTTTGATATCTCTTCACAGCATCAAGTACCTTTTCTGCTACAACCTCTGCTGCAATATCCTCTCCACAAAGAACACGGATGTCATACCACCTTTTGTAGAACTGCTTCCTAAACTGAAGTATGTCCTTGAGAGAACTACCAGGACAATGGCCCACAATGCGATCCACTTTCATTGATTTCAGCCTGTTCATGATGACTGCCGTGGACACATCCAAATATACAACTATTCCATTTTTCTTCATATGCTGCATGCCAGCAGAATGCATCGGATTTGACCCAGTGAGGGAAATGACACTTCCAGATGCTGAAAACTTCAACAGGGCTTTTCCTTCCTCCTCTAAAAATTGCTCATTACCAACATCCTGCAGTTTTTCCGACACACTCATGTTCCAGGTTGTTTCAAGGACATCATTATCTATGTCTATGACAGGGCAATCTAGTTTCTGACCTACTATTCTGCCAACTGTTGTTTTCCCAGCACCCGGAGGTCCCATCAGGATAATATTTTTGTTTCCAACAAGAGAATGGCTTGAGAACCATGACTTCCATATTTGTGCAAATGCAACAGGTCTTGAAAGAATGAGCTTTAAACACATTCCAGAAAGACTGGTTTGGGTTATTAGTCTTAAAGGCTGATACTGAACGTGAAACATCTTCTTCTGCTGAGTTATTTGTCTGTTCTGGTTGGTTGTTTGGTTTTTTTTTTTTTCCCAAGCCAACTTGACAATCCACTTAACTGCTTCAAAAAGAAAAAACTGTAATTAGTCCTTCAGCAAACATCTAGGAAAAAACCTAAAGGACATGAAATTCAGAACAAGAATTCAAACATAAATCCAGTTATGACTTCATCAGTGCCAGGAAAGTATTTTTCAGAATAAGTCTCATTCCCCTCTCCTGCATAGCTCCAGCTTCCTTCCACTGAAAAATCCAACTTAGAATCACAGAATCATAGAAAGGTTTGGGTTGGAAAGGACCTTAAAGATCATCGAGTTCCAACACCACTGCCATGGGCAGGGACAACTTCCACCTTCCACTTCAAACAGTCCAGGTCCTCAGCGTAAACAAAGACTTCCAAATCTAACACTATAATACTATTTGCAAATAATACTGGAATTCAAAAAGGAATTCAAAACCAATTACTTTTTCCTCTAGTAGACTTGCTTTTAATAACCTTTACAAATAATGAAGATTAACTAAATTATTTTCTTGTAATCAAAATGTTAACAAAATGTGCATTTTCCCACCTCCCAAGATGCCTTTGATTTCTTACATTTTCTTTAATAAAAAAAAAAAAAAGCAAGACTGACTTAAATACAAAGAAAACTCACAGACTTGTGCAACAGCAAGGCTGGAAGAGTTGCATCCAATTATCTTCTGAAGGGATGGCAAACCAAGCAAGTGATCTGTGAAGAGCTCCTGTAATGGAATTGCATTGAGTAGAGTTTGTGTAAAGTGAGAGAGAGAAAGAACACATCATGAAGACACTCAAAGAAGAAAGTCACTACGAGAGTTGGATCTCCAAGAAAGACTAAGCAAGAAGCTCCCAATATGATATTTTGTTTGCTTAGGAAATGAACACCAGTACCAGGACAAATTGCAACACATGATTTGTGCGTGATGTTTAGGGTACAGAGGGAAGGACTCTCAAAATCTCTATAAAGCCGGGCAGGGGAAGGAAAGCCGCACAAATTCGCACAGAAAATCCCTACAGAGTAATTTTTCATTTTAGGTAGGCAAATAAGTATAACTTTGTTACTATTATTTATTCATTGTTCATCACTAAAAATGCTTAAAGAAAAGAAACACTGAACTTCCTTTTAGGAAATTAATGAAATTTTAGATGTAAAAATTCAACTCAGTGCTTACTCATCAATTATAAAAAAATATATATATTTTATATGTAATTGCAAATCAGCATTTTTTAGAAATTATTACTTCTAGCTGCTATAGTATGCACTACAAAGAGACAGTTGACTAAGCTCCAAGTTTTTTTGTTGGTTTTTTGGTTTTTTTGTTTTGTTTTGTTTTTTATCCTGGCACTGTAATATGTAACCAAAATGGCAATCAGCAACTTCTAATAACTACATTTCAAAGACTCAATCTAGCTGCTAGCACCCCAGCATTTGCTCTGCAATGTTTACTACATTTTTAAGTTTATATACCAGCTACTTTTACCAGTGAAAAAGAGAGAAAGTGTTTCCCCATGTTAATCAAGACAGACTAAACAAAACAGTTAAAGGAATTCACTAAAGACTAAGTTTCCAAATCCTTCAATTGTTCTGTACCCTTTGTCTAGATGCTCTCCAGTCCAACAAGCCTTTTATCACTGTGGAGAGCAGGAGGCCTGGAATTGCAGTAGAAGGCAGGTGAGCACCAAATGGGAACTGTATCACCTTCTACAGACCTACTCATGACTAACTCATGTTTACAGTTATCACACCAGTCCTTTAAGATCCTGCTGTTCCTCATCAGTGTGTATAATATCAAATGAGTCCAGAGACACAGGTCACAAACTTCAAAAATGACACAGAAGCTCAAGTTTTGTAAGAGCAAACAAGAGAAAGAAAAAAAAAAAGAAGAAAAAAAAAAAAGACTTCTTCACTTACAGATTCTCCTTGCTCTAGATTCTGCCCTGTATTCCCTGGTCTGTCTTTTACACTCTGCTTTCTTTACCAAACTATTTAGCATACATCACAAAGTCAAAGTACTTCTAATCATTTAAAATTTTGCATTTGCTCACTTCTGTATGGAGGGTCAAGCTTGCAAACATAAGTCCCTGTGTTTGCACCCAGTGCTGTGACATGACAAACACACCATAATTACAAGGCATAGATCAGAGTAAAGATGGGCATATCATACTGTACATTTTTGTCACAATTTTGTACAGTAGAAGGGAATCGTCATGTGTAGATGCAATATAAGGTTTTGGTAATAGCTATTAAAAAGAAAAAACAATCTGTTAAGAGTAGTTGTAATACTCAGTATCATTACAAAGCTACGCTGTACTAGTAATGCACTCTAGTCAATACAAACATACGGGACCAGAAAGAGACATTTGTATTGAACAGAGAGATGTAAATAAATTATGCTCAGGATTTGAAAAAAAATTACAGACAATATTTTAGCTATCTCATTTTCTGAACATAAGAATCACTTCAAGCATTGTGTATGAACTAAGGGAGTACAAACCATGCCAAGCACAGTCTCTGCCTACCCTGTCTAGTTGCACTAAGGATTCACTTTGAGGAGCAGTCACTCGGTACGCGCTACTCAGCTGCTGGACATAACATCAGGATTGCTTTATGAATCTAGGCCAAAGGGTCTTAATTCCCCCCAACGACAGGTGTAGACAAGAAAGGAACTAGAAACAGGTTTCTCTAGGTATCAGCTCACCATGTTTACATGAAGTTATAAGCAGTCTATAGTATTGTTTGAAATCAACTTGGCTAATCTGGTGCAAAAATTTGCAGGGAATTTCTTTATTCAGCCGCTCAACTGGTTTAATCTATTCCAGTATAATTCCATTTTGCGCACATATAAAGTACATTTACACAGAAGCTTGCGACCATTCAATTCAACTGTTTCTTTGAAACCATTTTTTTATTCACTTGTCAAAACTTTACTGTAAAAACAGCTCAAATTAGACTTTGTATCTCATAGAGTTTACCAGTCTAGTTAGAATACCAAACCACCCAACTTTAGCTAATTCTCCCAAAAGTGTTTTTGTTTTCGGGGTTTTTTGGTTTTTGGGGTTTTTTTTGGTTTTTGTTTTTTTTTTTTTAAGCAGAGCTTACATCCACACCTCCAATGAAATTTGAAGTTTTGATGGTACACCTCGCACCTTCATTTGCATACACAAATGCACCTTCATTTGCACTGCTGACAGCACCTACATACCTTCAGCAAACACCCACAATTTTAACAGGAGTCACAGCGGAAACCGAACTTTGTTACTGGTCCAGACACAAAGTTTGCAGCAGCACCCCGCACGGTTAAAGCCCAGCAGCCACACAGGCCAGGGACAGCCTGCAGCTGTCAAAGCCCTCGAGGCAGCTCAGGGCTGATCGCTGTCCCCTTTCACACCTGCTAACACCGGACAACTTCCATTTGACTTTTCTCAGAGTTTTTATGCAGAGACAAAAAAAAAAAACAAACCCAAAACAACC